GGTACAGAGTAATTCCCTTCTACAGTAATCCGCTCAGACTATGTACGTGTTCAGCGACTTTTGACGAACGCATGTTTTTCCATTGGCCTGAAATGGTAACTAGTTACTTGGCAAGCTGCCATAGTCATTCATAACACCCCTGAAAGTTAGAGTTAGCTAGAGTTAGTTAGCGTCAAGAACTATTAAGTTTTTGCATTCAATAGCCATGTATGCAACCCCCAATCAAATCCATTGGGAAGTTTGATTGGGTATCGCCCCATACCTGAAGGAGCATGCCAAAAAATCGGTGTTTTTGTCTTCTCAAACTGGTTTAGTACAATTTCAATGGTACTAAATGGTTCGAGAAGTGGTGAACCCAATTAGCAACGAGTTGAGATGGTGGGCGTATGTCAACGAGGAGTTCGATCGGTGGATCGCAATAGCATCAGCGTCGCCACGTAACCCTCTACAAGCACCTCCACCCGAAAGGTAATTTGGGCGTCTTGTAAGCCTATGGCACTCCATTCGTTAGCTAATCATTGGAGTTGGAAAGTTGCAGGTACCTTCCNGATAATCGGCTCGATTATCGGATATATTACAATGAGTAGAAGTCCAATGTACGATAACCCGGAAGATTTCAGTTCCATCTGTTCAAAGAGGGTTGATTCCAAGTGAACTCCAATTAGGTTCAGCGCATTCTCAACAGGAATTCCTTGCAGCTTCAGATGGTCAACTAATGTGCGACCAAAACGCATTAGGGTCTACCCGGTCTTGAAGGTCAAACTCATGCAACATGCGATTTTCTGATCGCTATGCTATGAAGAGAAAGCACTGATGTCGGCATCTTGTCGGCCTTTTTTAACCATACAAATCCTGAATTCAACAAACCCGTACCCACGGAGGAGATGAAGTTCCTAAAAAGTGCTGCTACCGCAATTATGCTCGGGCAGGAGAGCAAAAGCCCTGACTTTAAAAGATTTTGTATGGTGGGTAAAACGTTGCCATCTCCATCTGGAAAGTAAAATTCCACAGGAATACCTACCAGTTCTTTTGGAGAATCATCCTCATTTTCAGATAGTTCTCTCAAAGAATGCTCGTCAGACTCGACCGATTGTTGTTGACGCATCTTTTGTAGTTTCCTTCGCAATGAAACAGCCGAAGCGCCGGATGATGAAATGCATGGGGCTGATACTCTGAAATCACCCATTTCATCATTACTTGACCTTTTGTATCACCTATGCGGTACTGTTGAATGAGCTCTTACAGTCTCACCTTCTTACTGCCTTCTCATAGAGTTTTGGTTCGGGTGGTGACGATGATGTACAGAACGATTCCGATCGCGGCCGAGTTAATCTTGGAATTTCTTCCTGAAGTACAAAATAATTACTTTTGGACGGCCTATTTTTCATTTGCGGGGGGTTTGAGAATTCTCGAAATAGAACAAACAACCGCAGTCTCTCGCTGTCGATGATTTATACTTTTCATTAGGCAGAGCGTGCCCTCAGACTGATAGCTTCTTGAAAGGACGGATCATATTTTTAATTTCTAATTGCTTTCAGCTGTAGAGCACTAGCTACATGTTTCCAACCCACGAACTATCGGCCTGTTCTCAAGTGCAGTTTAACTATGGAAACGAAGTTTTCTGAGTGTCGTCACAATGCTTGTCAGGGAATATTTGTGGTAGACACAGTGATAGTTAGTAGAGAGCCTGGTTTGGGATCTTCCTGGATCACCCAATCTGGTCATTTGGGCTTTATTCCGAATGAAGGTCGGATACATGGCCGTAGCCCTACATCCCTACAGTCGTTCGATGCCATTATCCTGGCAGGGGCTACGCTTACTTTGAAATCTGTACTGATTCCCCTGGTAGGGTCGTATACAGTTCCTCATAGCTTGAAAAAAGGTCTGGAACAGGTAATAATTGACGTTGGATGGTACAACTACCATCACCCTCTTCTTTCCTTCCATACAATAGGTGTGACCTGGGCTTAAGTAAGGAAAGAGATCTCCCTGATGTGGGGGAGTGGGAGTACTAGGGGAATACGGGAGGATTGTACCGTGGTGCAGCAATTAAAGGCAATCAAAAGAAACTTCAAAAGTTGAGCACAAGTATTCCTCTTCGCCACGTTATGTCGGCCTTGATTTTCCCCACTTCTAGGTTTTCCAGGTCCATGCAAGGGCCCTTCAAAAACCACTTTATAGATTCGCACTTCAGATTCTACCCATTACACCATTCATTTTTTGCATTTTCAGACTTTTTTTCGAACATTTTCTTGGCAAAGCTCCATGGAATTTGTGTAATGTGATCATCCCTGTAAGAAAAAACGTCTTTCTTCTAACGGTAAACTGGCTAAGCCACTTCAGAAGTCGGCTCAAAACTTGCTTTCAACCACATCTTTGGAGCTATTTTTGGAAGACGCCTGAATGCTTCAAATTTTCCCCTTCCCCCTTCATTTCGACCCCATTACGTCATAGTAAGTGGCAATGGAACATAGACGGCAACAAAATAACGTGACACGTTATGAGTAGACGAATGCAGTGCAAAGTACAAGGAAACAATCGCATCAGCCCCTCGTGAACGAGTTTTTTCTTCAAATTTTGTAAAAACATCCTTAATCTACACATACACATAGTAAGAAGTGTCGAGAAAGAAACCACTTACCGTCCCAACAGTAATGTGCAATGAGTGCCTGCGAGGAGTGTTGTTGGGTTTTGGTGAATCACTTTTTGGCATTGCATTGTCGTCACGTGTAACCGCCGGTTTATAGTCAGGAGTACGTTTCATGGCGGCAAAATCGCCGACCATAGTCAGAACTGATTCTAACTTCATCTGAAAACGATATAAACGAGCATTAAGAAAGAGTAATGACGTAATGTTTGTTTGATAGACATGCAATGCTGCGAGACAACTATCAAAGAGAGCAAGGAAAACCAGACAATTAGGCAAGAATTACTAGCTACTAATTTCGTAAACAGGCTTCCATCACGAAAGAGATGATCTGATCTGTTAAGTTGTCGACTATATGGGTACCAAGAGTAAAATTGTTTTTTTTTCAACGAGGTCTAGAACGTATAATTCCTACTTGCTGGGCGACTCAGTGTTCTTACCAACAGTTAGGAAAGAAGTGTCAGATCCCGCAGGATAGTAGAATAGCCTATANTAACTCTTTGATTACAAGTAGTCCTTCTGCCAGTTCAATCCTCAACTTTCTCTTACGAGGATACGATTGCAAGGGAAAAAACCATTGAACACCCACTCATGGAAACTCGCCCAGGATTTGGACAATGCTTTGTGTTCAGAAAAAAACATCCCTTGGGACGATGAAAAGGCAGGGATTGGGAGGTTTACAATTTGAAGAACCAGCGTGCACAAAAGAAATGAACACTTGTTTGTCTTATGAAGAAAATGATGGGATGCAGCCTGTTAGCGTATGGAGAACGAGATATATGGGCAATCGAATCAAAACCGCTCCGGACAAAAGTGGTCATCAACGATGAACGCCGATCAAGCAGAAGGATATAGAAGGCTTTGGATCAGTGGCTGTTAACTATGCTGGAATTAGGTCTCAACGGCGATACGGTAATGGTGGTTGACTTTTATATGGGAACGAATAGGCGACCGCCCACTACTACTCATTAAATGCACTCACACTTCCCACCCACATCTCACATACGCTATACATCATGTAAACAAGTTGCAAAGGGGGAAATCACGTGCGGAGGGATTGCTCGGAAACGTCTTTGAGCTTTGTTCTTTGATATGACCTTGACTCTCGATTCTGCTGAGGTGCTGATTTCGAAAACATTCTCAGTAATGGGATTAACCAACTTGATTGTCCATGTGGTGTCAATGGGCCACGAACATGAATGACTCAATTCCCATATTCCCAAGCATCCTTCGTCCTAGTTCTTAGAGTTCTAAACCTTAAATGGAAGCAACTCAAGCCTGGACAGAGGAACTTCTGGGTAGCGTCACTTGGGTAACTTTCATAAGCATACTCTTGGAGGCGTATTAACGTAGCACCTCAGTAAGCAGCCTGAGTTCTTGGTTGAACTTTACCTACATATTGAGGACTGGAATTGACCGCCTTTGACAAATTCGGGAGCAGCTGAGGATTACTGAGAACTTACTCCATGGGGGTTGCTTCTACTGCATGATAAAGACCGTTGGTAAACGCCACAGCTCTTACCTTCCTACTGCCTTAACATAGCCTGAATTTGGAGCAATACTCTCTGAGATCATGATTTATCGTGCTGGTTCGAGCAATCTCCGTCCCAAGTCAGGAGTATAGGCTGTTCAGATTGACTAAAACTCTCTCGCCACATGATGAAATATCCATTTGGGAGGAGCGGTGATTTCTGAGGAGGCGCTGTTTTCCATTACAAGGAATCGTATACGCCCCAAGCATAGTTTTTTCACATGAACGTCATTTAATGAATAGTTCTGCCTTTTGAGAGTTTCCTTGGCAGATTGATTACATATACAGGAGCTTTTCCGAATGGAAATGAATTACCCAAGTGGGCAAGTCAGAAGTCAGTCAGGTGTTAGGGCGAGACTCTGATTATTTCTTCAGTAGAATGCCCATGCACCTGGGTCCCGCTCAGAATCGTGGTAATACTTCGTACACTTTTAGCTTGCGCAATGAACTGGAGCCACCCAGCACACAGTAAGAGTTGCTATTTTTCCATTCCGATTCTGGGACCATCTAACCAGCTATGACGGGGCATGAGGTAAGAATTTCTTGAAATTTATTTGAGCCAAAATCGGTCCAGGACCACTCTACTGAAATCAGCCCTTTTTCCCTTTACCCCATCACAGAAATCATTGAGAGATGGGATAATGCAAACCGTGGGTGCAAATTTCGTCACACGCTATAATATACTGTATTTTTAGTAGCAAAGGGTTCCAGCGGCACGAACGCCCACTTTTTCCTATTGTGATCTACACAGGGATAACGAGAAATGGGAGTAGGGGGCGGAAGTGATGTACAGTATGCTCAGTAATCTGCGTATGTCAGCATTTTCGTATGCAATTGATGAGAATTGCATTAGTAAAACCGGTGATGACTAAAACGCTTATTTTAAGACGCACACCCATCGTAATCCAATTACGACGCACATTCGAGGCTGCAAATGAAGGTGATGTCGAAAGTTTACAGTTAGTTACCTCTTTTCAACAACAAAGTCGTCATGGTGTTGAAGTGATTCTATAATGGTCGTTGGAAACACTTGATTACAACCACTCGAAAACAGCCAACCCAAATGAGCAAAAATCTTCATGTATGACTCTGAATGACGGAATTGTATTGGCATAACTTCACCCGCTCAGAATATTCTTAAAAGCCTACTCCGCTGTGAAGTTAGGAGAGGTGTCCTATTGAGAGGAGGCTTTGGCCTCCAAGGATAACACAGCAATGCTATCGGTTCGAGAATCGGCATAAATAGGGGCTCAAAGATTGCCTACATCTAATGCCGCCACACCCCGACGTGGCCGTGTTATCGCTGCCCCAGGTAGACTTTACCATTCACAATGGGGAATCTTTGTTAAACAACAAACCGTCCAGGACTTTAATCCATGGCGTTGCTTTCTGCAGCCAGCACTCCACGCAGTAGTACAACATTGAAATTTGAGTACCCCTTCCGTTCCAGTCTAATCGTTATAATTTTGTTAAACTCCCTGCTTTCCATAGTTTCTTTTCGCGATTTCTACCGACTTTCGTTGTCATCCATGCAATATTCTGTACGGACTTCACTTATCTCAAAGGATTTACCTCAGAGTCATTGTCGCCTGTGCTGAGCTGAGCAACCAATGTTTCTGCAGTTTCGTCATATTCAGGGCCTTCCTGTGTATTGACGGTTGGTCGGCCACTGTGATGAAAAGAAAAAGATTTCGAGATGTTGTCTTTACTTCCCTCATGCTCGAGTGTGCAGCATTCCAATTAAAGTTTCACACTCCTTAGTTTTTATGTCCTATGTCTGTTTACCTTCCTCACGAAGTGAAAGCCATGGGCGAAAAATTTTGCTTCAGCCTTTTGAAGATCGTTTTCCGAGAAGTAGTGCATTTCAGCTTACACATACTCTTTGATTTTTGCCATGCCGAACTTGTAGCGAAGAAACGTGATGGATAAACGTGACGGACCAACTCACTCAGCCTTTTGCCCATTTCAAAACAAATGCTCGGAGTTAAAAGAATTCTCACATGTCAGGTAACCAAAAAGTTCGTGCAATTTTGTAAGTGGATAAATAAACATACACTAAACGGTTTGAGTAAAGTTATTTTCTACAAAATAGTCTCCTTCAGCATGAATGACTTCCTCACATCGTGAAACAAGCTGGCATATTCCATTTTTTATAAAACTCTTGAGTTTTGAAGCTGAAAAAGTGATTTAACTCCCTTTCGAGCTCTTCTCTACTTTGAAACTGCCGATTCTTCATGTGATTATCCAGGGCGAACAATGG